CAGACCCCGCACCCCTTATCCCTTGAGCGTCTGCCCTGTGTTGTCTTGTGTCCATGCCCTCGCCTGCGCATAATTCAGAATGCCTCCTTCAAAGAGGACAGAGTAGCATGTCTGCTGAATACGGATCCTCATCATAACGCACTGTGCCAATAAATTGTTCGCATGGGTCAACATCGAGTGCTGCCTGCATTGGGTAAATGCATGATAAGACGCCGGCCCCGATTGTCTTAATCGAGGTAGCTAGTTTGTCTTATTTTTCTCGTCCAACTCGGAAGAGGTCGATGCGTGTCTCTGGCAGAATCCGCGCCGGATTGTTCTCAGTGTATGTACCTCCACGTGGGACAGCCAAAAGCCATCCACTTTTTTGCGTTTAATGATGATGTGCAAGATGCCGCATCCTGGAGATGGAGGGTGACAGGGGTAGGGATTGTCGTCCGCGCACTGGGGATCTTTTGAAGCGCGAACTGTCAAACACAAGTCCTCGCGGATGGAAAACGAAGACTTTCGAAGAATGATGTCGTTGGGTGAATTGGATGTCACGAGCAGCCATCATGGAACCCTATTCCAAATCATAAGGACCCGACAACAAGTCTCGTCGATCTCGCTGGCTGTCCGCTCCAAAAGACGTGTATCCGTAGATAGCTCACGGGAAGTGTGACGGGTTTGGCAGACGGCACACAGCGAACGGCTTCGGCGAACAAGGTTCGCTGATCTTTGCTTGGAGTGCTCCTGAAGGCTGGTGGAGTCCCCTGGGTGATTGACTCGAAGAGTGATCTGATTTGTTGCATCTTTCCACGAGCTGGGAATCAAATGGAGAAGTGACAGCGGGGAGCAAAGAAGCAGACGCACCCGTGCACAGGGAGCGCTAAGACTCGAGGTCTGTGTGCTGCGAGCGCCGTTCAGCGTTCAGGAGGCGACTCTCGTTGGTCTGATCCAACTTGACAAACAACGCGATCCATGCTTGCGGTGTCTCCCGTTGCCCAATCTGTTCATGTTATGGCCGTGCTGGCTGGTTGCCAACCGCCAATCCCGACCACGATGTTTCTCCTAATCGTAGTCAAGTGGATAAGCCTCATTATTTCTTTTGCCAGAACCTGTTGATTAACTGCCATCAAAACTCGGCGCTGCCTCGGGCCTGACGCAGTGTTTGCATATTTGGTGCGGGAAAGATTAATTGATTTCGAGTCAGGCGAGACGTGGCCATTCATAGACGACATCTGCCGCTGGGAAGGGGGAGTTTGGTGTGCGGCTAACACCATGGCCGAGTACTATTGAGATGTGAGGCTCCTGCTGACTGTTGTGTGTCCAGAGGCAATTTAGCAGCCATCGAGTGTGGGTTGTGTCGGCGACGCTCGCCGAGGGCGGGTTTGGTTGTTTGACATTGGCCTTGGCTGCGTTGACATGCCGTGGTCGTGCTACTAGCGACGCAGACAAGAATATACCCAAACCCATACAACACTAGTTGCCGTCGTGTGGCCGATCCAGTGTCTGAGGGTTTCAAATCGGAGATAGCCAATGTCAGATCAGCGTAACTGCGACAAAAGAGGCGGTAAACCTTTCACCCAGGCTTTACCGGCCGACAGCTGGACATGAATTTGCCGGGAGCATGGACAGCAGGGCTGTTGCCGGCTGTGATGTGGGGGTTTCCGACCCGAAGTCTCTTTCTCTAAAGATGGGGAACGGCGGTGGGCATTGTGTATCGGAATCGGTGTATACGTACTGCATACATGAGCCTGGCCGTGTAATGGTTCGGGCGAGGACAGTGAGTTGCAGGGCATGCCAGGTCTGCCTTTGTTTGTTGCCGTGCTTATTAGCCCTAGCAAGACAGATTACGGAGTCGAGACCGACGCCCTGGACGTGAGGGAGGCACGGAGGTTCATATTTTGGTGTACGGAATGTCCTTCTCTCCCAGGAGTGCATCCAGCAGAGCGGAAGACTCACAATTCGTCAGCGCACAGGTAAGCCCCGAGGGTGGTGCGTGTTCTGGCAGAAGCGAAGCTGGGACGTCGATCATGTTGTTTCTTTTTGGAGGGTGATTATTAAAGTCTGAATTCCGAGGGTCCGAGTACTAAGAGAGAAGGCAAAAGTTGAGGTCGGCAGAGTAGGCAGCAGAACGGGGAGAAGGAATATGGACGGTCTCAGACGTCCCAGCAGTCTGGCTGACTGCATGTCGAACAACGTGGCTGGCGGACGATCATGTGCGGGTGCAAACAGATGCGGTGCAGCAACGAGTATTGGTTGAGTTTTGGCGGGGAGTTGACGTCGTGGAGGTCTGTACGAGACTGCATCCGTTCTCGAGGCTTGGTCAAGGCGATATAGTTGGACTGCCGAGAGCGTGCGCGCAGCAGGGAAGGGGGAAGAAGCAATGATCGACTGCGGCAAGTTGTGCGGGCTATCCATAAGAGAGCCTATTGGTGTTGGTTGATGAGTATGACATGCGGTGGCAATGGCTTTGTTGGCGGTTCTTTTCTTCGGCGACATGCGACATGAACCCTGACGCGGTGTTTCGTTTCTGCTTGAGAGAGGTTTTGTTGGATACGAGACAAAGTTGGGTTTCTGGTGAGGAGGCGCAGATAATGTTTTCTTTCGCGCAGTGCGGCGTCAGTGATTCGTCCCGTTTGGGAGGCGTGCGCAGCGAGAGAGAGTGTGTGTGTGTGAGAGGCGGTTTGAAGCATGGCTGTCTGCTGTGTGGATGAGCGAGATGGAAAAGGAACTGACTGGAGCTGCAGACCGAAAGTGCAGGTACCTCGTCTCGTGGGAAAAGGTGGCGCTGCATGTACGTATCGGACGTGTACTCGATACAAGCCTCACGTGGTCATCGGGAGATCGCGCATTGCAGGAAGGACGGGAGGGAAATCTCGCTGGGCGAAGGCGGTGCGGTGCTGGGCGTGGAGGTTGGCAGCTGCCCCGGGCGGTGGTGGTCCTGGTGCTAATGGAAGGAAGCCCGGTACCTTCCGCGGGAATACCTACCACCCTAAGGTGCCTGCGTCCCCTAGCACCTAACTAGGTGCCTAGGTAAGGTAAGGTAGATAGGGAACCACAAAAGCAGGCAGCCCTGAGCAGTTACAGTGAACCTCCATTCAATGGACTGGTGAGTAAGTACCTCGGGGAGTATGTACTTGCAGTGCGAAGTGCGATGGAACCAGAAATGTTCAGCAGAAAGAAAAACTGCCTGCCTGCCCACAAGTTCGTTCGTTCGCCTTGCACGAAACAGACTTTCACACTTCAACTTACGAGTGCCTGCCTCGCGACATGCTGCGTGCTGTGCCGTGTGTACTTCCTGCGGTATAGATATTCGTAGGTGCGAATACCTAGGTACACGAGGAGCGATGTGGAAGCATGTGGATGGGTACGTATCTCTTCGCACCTTCCTGGCCACTTAGGTAACTGACTGCGACGTACAGCCACCATCTCGCATTGGATGAGACCAGGAAGGCGAGGACAACACGTGTAGCGGCTCGACGTAACGTAGCCGCGCCCCAATATGGCCGCACCGGAAGTACCTCGTGGGTACCTTACCTCAACGTGAAAGGCAGTTGCCAGCTGAAGCCCGACTTGCCCGCTGGAACTTAGGTAGTGTACTGCGAATCCATTCCCATTCCCATTTCTCGATGCTCCATCATGTGCTGATCACACACGACACTTTCCACTTTTCGAGACCGCCTCCTACTGCACTTGCGACATACTGATCGCCAAAGCAAAGCATAGACATGGACATGGACATGGATATGATCTAGCCCACGACGTGAAGCGCAGTCCTTTTGAGTTGGTGGACGGGAGGCGGAAAAAAAGACGGGCAGTGGAAAGGGAAAAAAAAAAAAAAACCCCAGGGCAGAAAGGCTAAAAAGAAATAAAAAATAAAATAAAAAATGAGAGAGAAAAAAAAGAGGAAAGCTTCCCCCACTTCGCACGAGGTTCCCTTGTCAGTGCCTGGCGGCTAGCGCCGTCCACCTTACCACTCCCACACGGCCTTCACTTTAGCTTTTGAGCACACACCATGGGGCACATCTCATCTTGTCGTCCTCGTCTTGGTCCTCGAGATTGAGGCGGTGGTGAAAGCTGCAACCCCCCTCCTCTCCTGGTCCAGCCACTGAGGCGCGGACGTCACCGGTTCCGGGGGAGCTGTTGGTCTTAGGTGCGCCTATGAATGGATGTTGACCTCTGCTGACCTTGACGGGCGTTCCAGACTGCGTGCCGAGTAACAACAACGTCAGTTTCTTTGATTCTTACCCTGCCTTTGGACAAAATACGGCCTTCCCAGATGATGGGCATACTTCAGCTTGAGACTGCCCTGAAGCCGGAATTTCCATTGTTTACAGATTCCTTGGGACGGTCAGCACCTTAAGGTACCTTGCCACGGCATCTACACGAAATGCCACCTGCCACGGCCAGGTTGCCAACGTGGGGTCGCTGCAGACTGCTTACCTGTGTACATATTGTCTCGCATACCACGCCGGCCACCAAAAAGCTATCTTAGCAGGTGGGTAGGCACGCATTATTCTTGCTAAGTGTTCCAATAATACTCGAGCGTGCAGGAACGACAGAGCAGCAGGCAGGTAGCACACTAGGTGCACTATCAACATCGTGCTCTTGGCCAGAGACAATACCCACAGCTCAGCTGGACATGTCCATTGTCTTTCCGACGTCCGGCGCACCTGCACAGACACAGACAGCAGCACCATGGTGGCTTCTTTTTGTTGAGTGCCGCGAGAAGAGGAAAGGGAGATCGGGTGCCTCTGGTGCGAGCCTCTCGCGAACACTGTACACCATGGAATGTTGGAATCCAACCACGCTCCATCACCTTGGCCCAGTCTTTTGGGTGTTTGGATTATCGAGCATAGCGGGATGGATCCGTCATTGGATTGGGCGTGCAGATCCTCCCTTACGCAGTCACTCGCCTCACCACGCGTCCTGTCTTTCTACCTTTCCATCGTTGACATCGCAAACGGCGCTGCTCCCAGCTAGTCCCCCACACCCTGCGCACGAGGCAAGCAGCCAAAATGCTTTGGTCGCTTCAAGCACCGCACGCGGCAGTCATGGTCAAGCCCACGCCGTGCCTCATTGATGGTTGCCCTTCCACCTCCACCAACGTGCGTGTGCCTTGTCAAACACCTTTCGAATGCTTACTTGGCAGTTGGTGCTCTGCACAGAAGCATACGCAGTATACCCTCGCATACCTACCGCAGTACTCCATGCCGCCCAGTATCAACTACCCTGCTGGGCTGGAGACACTTTTGCCGCTGGATCGCCAATGGCCGGCCCATCACCATCACTTTCACCCATCCCATCCCATCCATACCACCATGTGCTGGCTCGTGGCTTTGGGTTTGGCTGTGCGCCTGCCCGCCTGTCCATCACCGTCTGGGATGACGAGAAACACCACCCTCTTCCGACTGGTCCCCGCCGCCCGGAGCCCGTCCTTTGGCCTGACAGCCCTGTCCTTTCATCCCGATCCCTTCCTTCGGTGAGGAAAGGGGCTCGTCGATGAAGGGGTCCCTTGGCTTCAGAATTTTTAATCACCCGGCGGCGTATCCCCCGGGGCCACCCTCCGCTTCTTTGCGCTCGGGTCAAGGTCCATGGCCGTTCGTTTTCTTTTTGGATCTTGACTCCTCCATCCCCAAACTATCCACATTTACACGAGCATTTAGAGCTGTCCGTACTATTCACATGGCCATTGCTGTGCGCCAGGCACAACCGCACGCACGCACTCACAAGGTATATGCTGACTTGGTTCAATCAAGACGAGTTGATCAGCCCGCAGGTCCCTCTTTGTGAGCTGTCGGCGACTCCTATCAACTCACTTCTGCTGGGGTCGTCACTGAGTAAGTTTTTCCAGGACCTGCCAATAATACCCAGGAACCATATCTATATGAGTGCACACATGCGGATAATTCATCCCAGCATTGGCACTCCGTGAGCCGCGGTCCTTATTGACGCCGCTGGAATTCTCGGCCGGCCTCTAAAGCGCGGTGCCTTGCACCCCCGTATGATTACCAGTCATGATTAGCGGCAGCAACACGGCCTATCCGGACGTGCTTTCCTCCCGGAACGGACGCTGGCGATCATGTTCCGGCTGCAAACAAATACGGATACAGCACGCTCTAGTCGCTAGATCAGGGACCGGACCAGACTCCGAGCCTGAATAACGAGAGTGACGCCCAGATGGCGTAGATGCAGGATACAAGTGGCACCCTCCAGGCATGATCGGTCCGGCTTTCTTCTCCCTCTTCGTCGGCCTGTCCTGTAGGGCCTGTCTCGCCATGATGGCCCGCCGGCTTCCTTCTGCCCCCGCCAGTTCGCAAGCCCCGACAGCGGGTGGCATATTTGGAGTCGATCAATTGTGAGACGAAACATGAAAACAGCGGGCCCGACGTCGGCTTCCTCCATCAATTCCCATTCCTTTTATCGCTGGGCGTCTCTTCCACGCTGCCCGAGACCCGGCTTTGGGACAGGTCTGGCCTGACCAACATGCCTGCCCGACCTGGGTCCGTTCTGGTCTGGCATCGACAAGTTGATGAGGGCCACTGTCTACTATGGTGTCTGTATGCCAACGGACAATGCCGGTTCATGTGCAACGGAACCGCCAGCCAATTACGCGATAAACAAGCCTACAGTTTAGGGCATAATTTGCGATCTGGAGCCCTGCTGCTGTGTCGCATGGGGTGTTCATCCTCCCACTACAGAGCACATACTTGTGATGATGATTCAGGGTTTGTGCTTCCAGGTCTACAAGGGCTCCAGGAACCGCGGGCGCGGATGGCGGATGCCAATTGCCAGACGCATGGGAAGAAACAACGAGAAGACCAGGACGCCGGGCAGGGCTTGTCGCGCACGGATAGAGAGATCGACAGGATCTCAGATATACTGCTTCATTTCATTGGATATTTTTATCTGTTCTTCGACGGCGCCAGAAGAAGAGGCCCATGATTCTTCCGTACTCGACAGTTCTGCAATGGCTCTCATCACGAAGGGCAAAGTTTAACAACAGAGGAGGCACGCACCACGGACGTATTGCGTACATGGTGTGCTGTAAAGTACGCGACGGATACACAGGCACATAAACGGCTACGACGAAAAAAAAACCTTGCCATGGATGCCACACGACAAGCAGATGGATGCTCGATGCATGTGAGGGCCGCGACCCCACTCACATCGGAGACGTCTCCTGAGCTTCCCAGCGTGGTTTGGCACATCCACGAGGGCGTGCGTATCGATACATGGGCAAGACCAGGCTGGGCTGTCTGGACGCCATGTACACTGCAAGGTAAGGTGGTGATGGAGCTGTCCCTCTGGGGCGTGCGGGCAGGGATGATGGGCTTGGCGGGACAGCCATCGCAGGTATCCGTTACCGCGCAGGCCGGGAAATAAGAAACGCGAACAGCGCCCATGCGTGGGCAAAACCACCCGAGCAAGGTTCGGTTGTGCTGCCATTTTGTGGCACGACGGCGCGGGCTCGCAGGGTATGACAAAGAGGTGCAATAGGACTTGGTGTGCAGGCACGCTGAGGTGAAGCCGGGTCCACAGTACCTACGGACGAGGTACTTTTCTCGTCTGCGTCGACATGGACGCTAGACCCCCCCATGCCTTGTCTCTGGAGGCGTGGGCTGGACGGAGCGAAGGGTGGGCTGGCAGCGGCACCCCAAAAGAGCACGGGTACATGCACTCGATCGGGCTACGCCTGTACTTTAATCAGGTTGCGAGGGCAGGACAGGACAGGACAGGACACGGCACGGTAGTACCTAACCGCCAATGGTTGCGCAGCGCAATAACACCTTAGCTAAGATACCTTATTTTCAGGTCGATGGCGCATCGCAAGGATGGGCGGGAGGTCTTCGGCAAGAGACGCAGGAAGAAGGTGGTTGTGTCGATGGATATACGGTACGGATACTGATACTGCATACATAGTGTATGTTCCATGGTGATGGTGACAGTGAAGGAGGAGAACCTACCGCAGTAAGGTGAAGAACAAGACCAAGAACAAGAACAAGCACGAGAACCAGACGGAAAGGCCTGCCGTTGCTCGAGCCAGGACCAGGACCAGACCCAGATCAAGAGGCACGCACCTAACCTAACATCACCTCACCTCACCACTTTCACACTTGGGCACCCTACCTGCCCGCGCCTTACCTACGGATAGACGCCAGTGCCACTCCAGCGTCCATGTTCCGGCGCCTGTTCGTTCGCCCACCTCCCAGCCTAGGTACCTACCTACTCACTACCTACCTACCTTGCCCAACCTTTTCCCCTCACTCTTCTCCAGATCACAAACACCCAGTCAGTTGCGTTGCTGCTGTTGATGCTGCGTCAACTCGCTCGCCTGGACCTGGACGTGAACATGGACCTGCATCTCTGTGCCCCCTCTGAATCGCTGCAAATCACAGTACACACGTTGCTTTTGTCCTCATCAGTCTTCTATGCCCCTCTGGCCAGAAAAAAAAGGGAATGGGATGTGGGATAAGATACACACATATGACCCAGGTATTCGTACCATTGACCAAGGCACAATCCAAATCACCGCCAGGCCACATCCCCATCCGCTCCCCCCCATGTGAGGTAAGGTAACGAACGTAAGGTACTTGTGCATGTATTCATACGGATACAGCAGAGATGGATAGTTTACCCTCACTCCCTCGTTGCCCCTACCCCCCTGTCCCCAGAAACCCTGTGTCTTGCCCTGTCCTTGGCTTGACCTGTGCAATCGTGGCCCCCCCCCCCCCGGCTGAGGTACATTGCACGGTACGAAGACCGTCGCTCTCCCTGGTGCCGTCTCTTTCGCTCTTTTCTGTGGGTCTCTACTGGCTCCTGGCTGTGGCTCTTGCTCTCGCTCTGCGTCTGTGTCTGCGTCTACACGTCTGGCTGCTCTACTCAGGCCAAGTCATCCTAGCGCTGCCGCTTGTTCAATTCCATCTTATCCCCTCCACCCCCAGCTCTTCCCAGTCTTGAAACCGACTGCCTCCAGCCGTCTTTCTCCTCCACCCGCCCTCGCCTACGCCGACCCTCGAGTTTGCTAGACCTCTCCTCCTTGTTTCCTTGACTTCGTCCAACTTAACCTCGTCCCCGTCCTGCATCCTCGCCGTCGCCTTCGCCTTCCACCATCACCTCCTCATTACCGCCGTATCCAACACCACACGCTCTTTACCTTCAAGTCTCAACCATCTGACCAGCCTGCGACTACCAGACGCCTTCTCAAAAGGCTGCCGTCATCGCATGATCTTCGTCGTCGGGCCACGGACAATTCGATTGTTCTCAACGGTACTACTGCGCACATAGCCCGTCTACTTAATCTTCCTCGCCTCGCCCGAGAGTCATTCGCCCTAGACGTTTGAGCCGTCGACCCCAACCACCGTCTCGAACCGACTTGCGCTCGACATAGGTCTCAGCATTCGTTCTTCCCAGTAGCTTACGACAACCACACAACATGGACGCGCAGCGACCAATCTCTCAGAAATTGCCCGCGGGGTTGGCAGGGGTCTTGAATCCAGATGAGAACCGCGACTCGGCCTACTTCTCTAGCACAGATGCATCCAGCAAGCGTACGTCGACGGTGGAGTCATTACGAATGATGCAACGACCATCTAGCTAACACGCACCCTGACAGACAACTCTGCTGCCTCCTGTGTAGGCAACGTCCTCAGTCCCACCGGCTCAGGCTACCAGTCATCGTTGGCCGACAAGACGCCCTCGCCAGTCACGGCGAACCTAGTACCCCAACCCCTTGTGTCGCCCGCGAGTAACATGAGCGTCGCCTCCATGGTTTCGCCGACGACACCCGGGAGTGCCGATCCGCGTAGATTCGAACGACCGACGTCCTTGAACTCGGATCCGCAACTGCTTGCTCAAGACTTCGGCACCGCTTCACGCAGAGAGAGTGTCGACAGCAGGATAAATCAGGGTTTTCACGAGATGAGGCTAGGCGGAAACTCCCCCTACGCAAGTCACAACCAGTCGACAACGTCGATTCAAAATACTCTTAACCAGCAAAGGAACCCGCGTCAGGGTCTGGACAATCTCTCGGTACACCGCATCTCCAACGGCTACCAGCCAAGTAATGACAGAAATCCTGACCCTAATCCAAAGATCATCCGAACCGCACCCGCCATCACCGGACCCGCTACCAGCAACATCGCGAGGGCTGCCGAGCCGACTAAGGGTCAAGCTTGGGCCTTCCCGGAGGAGGAGATTCAGCGAATCGGGCCTCACGATGCCTACCTTGACTCCAGACGCAGTAGCGTTGCCGAATCCATCGCCAGCAGTCAGTTTACCACCGAATCGAGGTTGCCCCCGGGCCAAAGACGCTTGGACGAGCCTACCGACTTCAACAACCGCCTCTCGAGCACCTCATCCGATTTCCCTCCAGTACACCACCACTCGCTGCAACATAAGCAGATCGGAGATCTTCGCGATGACGACGCCGCCTCGAGAACAGGAGCCCAGCCGTACAGCCGCACCCCAGAGCTGCGTAAGAGTC